TCCTCCTCCAGTTCCTGAGAACCTCAGCCCCACCAGGCACCTGCTGGGCTGATGGAGTGTCAGCCTCCTAAAGACCCTCTTTCTGGTCCCAAATCTTGCTCTTACTCCTCTGATCTCTTCTTTGAAGGGCTACAGATCTCCCCACGGTTCCTTGGCCCTGGTCTTGGAGCCTCCTCCTCTGGATGCCCCCAGACCTCCCAGGGCCAGATGTTCTTGTTTTATGACACTGATTTTCTCCGGCAGGCAGTTTCTGTTGCCTTGCCTGAGGACCCTAGGAGGTCACTTGATTCAACTCCCTTGGCCGGTTGGATCCTTCCTTTGAAGGATGCTGCTCCACATTTGCCTGCTCTGCTCTGGGGTGGCCACTCTGGGCATCGGGCCATCATAGTCACGTGGGGGCCACTGAGGCGTATGGAAAAAGCCTTCCTGTTGGATCACTCTTTTCAAGAGGACTCTTGGTGGCTTGGCTTGAGACCTTTTGTGGGAGATGCTAGATTCTTGAAAAGAGCTAGTTTAGTTTTAACTTATACCCATTTCTTTCTGTCTCAGACCCTGGCATGAGTCTGGGGACTTGGCGGGGGACAGATTTAGCCAATAGACTGTGGTACACTCAGAAGTAACCCATATGTTGCTGTCTAAGGCCTTGTTGTTGGGACAAAGGAGCATCCATTGTCTTTCCTCCTAGTGTGGATTGTCCCCTGGGAGGGCTTTTTGGGCCCTCGCTTTCAGTTACACGTGAGAGATTGGAGGGCACTGTGGCTTCTAACAGGGCTCACTTGGTTTTCCCACCAAAATAGATCTCAGAGCAGAGAATTTGGCTCCTGAGGGAATTGGGTGGTACGTGTGGTGCATTATCTGAAATGGTCTAGCACAATAGGGACATTTATTGGGTGTTTGGTGTTTTATGCAAAAGAAACCACAGACATTTTCCATTTTACCCGACATTCTATCCCGCCTTGCTTTGTAAAGAAATGCTATTTAAATGCTGCTACTGGAAGTGTGGCCCACCAATGGGGAGCCTGGGCACATTTGGGAGCTTGTTAAAAACGTGGAACCTCCCACCCTGCCCCAGCCTTGGCCACGGGACAGGCTCAGCTCTGGGTCCGGCTGGCTTCTTTCCCCTTGGGATGGGCCGTTTGCAGGGAGGGCTCCTGTGGCCTATCCTGTCAGCTAACAGATGTCCCTGCACTTGTGACTCTGAGAAGCACTTAGGAGTGACTCCTTCCTGAGTGTGACTGGGAAGAGGTACCCTCTTGATCTGGGGAGTACCAGGTTCCTGGGGTTCCCGTGTCCCAGTGGGGGAGACATTGGCCTAGTGAAGGTGGCCACTATTTCCTGCTGGGAAGTGGGTCACCCTCTTCTGGCTGGCCTTTCGGGTGGGTGGGTCAAGCACTGGAAACCCTAGCAATTGCGACACTGCGCCTCACCGGGTGTCGAGCTCCGAGTGCTCCACCCAGTGGCTCTTTTCATCCTCACGCCTAGCCCATCTTACGGGAGAGGAAACTGATGTCTGCAGATTTAGATCACCTGCCATGTCACAGAGCTAGAGATGACAGAGCCACACCTAGATGTCAGGGAGGCCTGGCCATGGGGAGTCACCTGATCCTGAAGTCCAGCTGAGGGGCACTTAGAGATGGCCCAGGCAAGTCCTTCAGCCCAGCACCGCGGCCAGCAGCACCCACATCCTCCAGGAACCGGTCAGTAATCCAGATCCCAGTGACCCTGGTCTCTGGGGGTGGGTCTGCGTTTTAACGAGTCCTCCAGGGAATTCCGATGCTTGCTGAGGCTTGAGAACCATGGGTCTAGCCCACGGCTTTCGTTTTGTATCTTGGGTCATCAGGATCCCGAGCCCAGGAGGGGCCTCCTCACAGAAGACTCCGGAACACTCATCCGGAACACTCATGCCCCGGGCCCTGCTTCTCCACAAACACACCTGAGCTCACCATGTTCACGCTGGGGTCTGAACAGCTCAGATCCAAGAGGGTCTTCACCCCTCCAGGGAGTCCCCTGTGAGGGTATGATCCTGTGGCCTGCACATTTGTTCTTCACACTGTGACAGTTCCTAGGATCCTTGGAATCTCCAACGAGCTGTCATTGTGTATGCTAAGGAGTTGACCACGGCTGGCAACCCCTAATGGCTTTCAGTCGGAAAGACCAGGTCAGGAGGGGAGAGGGGCTGTCGGGCTGATCAATGCAGACTCCATGAAATCCAAAAGGAGCTTTTGGAAGAGGAACTAGGGACGCTTCCTGGAGGGTGGCGTGCCCCCCTTCCTCTGTACCCCTGGTAGCAGCCTTTATAACGAGCCAGCGGAGGTGAGTTGGCGCTTTGCTGAGTTCTGCGGGCAGCTTGAGCAAATCCATGCCCCCCGAGGAGGGGCTCTGGGACCCCTGGTCTCCAGCGGGTCAGAAGCACAGGCAGAACCACCCAGGGCCAGGCCAGGGACTGAGCCCTCTGCCCCTGGGACCTAACCGCCTGGGCAGACAACGGCAGAGCTGGATTGGACTCGAGGGCCCCCGCTTGCCTGCCGTGGGGAGAAGCCCTGCAGCTCTGGAGGTGATGCGGGTCTCACAGACAAGCTGTTAGGCACCGAGGACCTGTTTGCTTTTCCCACAGCGAGGGCTTGAGGAGGTAGAAGCGGCCATTTCCCAGTCATGCCACACACTGTCTCTTGCAGGAGCTCTGCCCCTCCTGAGGCTCCTTCTAGAACAATCTTTCCCTGTGGGGTGGGAAAGCACATGGTCGGGGATCAGTTCTGGGTTCTCACCTTGGCTTCCTGGTTCGGGAGCTTCCTGGTTCTGGTCACCTGAAACTTGTGGGCCTTGACCCCTGGATTAGGATTGGGGTGTTCTTCACCTGCCTGGTGCATCCTGGGCTGACTGAGTGAACCTCCCCAGCGTGGAGCTGGTCTATGGACACCGGCTCCTCCCTCCTTGCCAGGGCAGACCTGCCTTCTCTGACCAGATCTTCTTTCTTTTCTTTTCTTTCTCTCTTTCTTTTTTTTTTCTTGGTTCCAGGGATTGAACTCAGGGGCACTGACCACTGAGCCCCATCCCCAGCCCGATTTTGAACTTTATTTAGAGACAAGGTCTCACTGAGTTGCTTAGGGCCTCACTTCTGCTGAGGCTGGCTTTGAACTCCTGATCCTCCTGCCTCAGCCTCCCGAGCTGCTGGGATTTCTGTGCCACGCCTGGCTCTGACCAGTTCTCGAAGGAGAGAAAAGAGAAGTCTGAATTCCCTGCCTGGGAGTGGGTCACGCGCAAGAGAAGACCTGGCAGTGGCCACCGTGGGCACGAGCAGGCCTTGCGGAAGGATTTCGAGCAGCCGAGGAGCAGAAGGTGAGGTCAACAGAGAGGAGGGCCAGGGGTCCATCCACTCGCCACCGTCAGGGACCAGCCCTGGGGCCTGGCCTTTTCTTCGCAGGAAAACGCGTGCTTGATTTTATCTTCCCAAAGTGTGGGTTTGGGGAAGCACGTGGAGACCCTGGACATACGCACATTTGCCGCTGCTCTGGCCGCGAAAGCCACTGTGTTTGGCTGACCTTAGGGGCTGCGTGACCCTTGTGCAGAGCTCCTTGTGGGAGTGGGGGCTACTGCTGCCATTTTGTGGAGGGGAGAAGGGAAGACCCTCAAGGGTGAGCGGTGTGCTCCTGGGGGCACAGTGACAAAGAGGATTCTGTCCTGCTGGGATGTGGAGATTTTCTGATAGCGGGAGATGGTCCCGTCGAGGCCTGAACCTCAGAGCACAGCCCAGGGATGGGGTCTCTTGCTTGGCTTCCAGCTTCCCCTCTGAGATGCCCCTGAGCTCAACAGGGAGGAGCCTTGAGGGTCTGTCTGCTTTCCGGTTTCCCCGCAACCCCACTGCCTGCTCACATAATTTCCTTGGCTCTGGTGTGTCCTTGGCCACCACTTCTGATACCTGATATGTCCCTTCCTGGCGGTAGCAAGACTTAGCAGGATGAGCAGAGCCCTTAGAGGCAGGCAGACTAGGTTGGAATCTTGGCTCCCCACTTCATTAGCTGTGTGACATTGGGAAAGTCACTTAACCTCTCTTATCTTCCGGTCCTGATCTGCACAATTGGGAACAAGGGTACGTAAGAATTGTTGTGTGGATTAGAAGGGACAGTGTATGCAAACCCCTGGCACAAGGTCTGGCACGTGGTGATGGAGGTGGGGGTGAGGGTGAGGGGTAGGGGTGGTGATTCCAGGCCCTGGTCCCAGCTTGACCCTCTGGTGGGGCCTTATCCAGGGACGTGCCCTGTCTCGACTTCCCTCCTCATGTCCAGCTTCTGGGCCATCCTGCCTCTGTGCCCCACCCTGCACCCCCTTTCCCTGGCATGACCCTGTCTAGCAACCTGCCTGGCCTGCTTTCCCTGGGAAGGCAGAGCTCCTCTGTGGTCTTCAAAGAGGGAGACACTGGGGGAGATGAAGCCCGCAGGACGGCGAGGGGACAGACGCAGGGCCAGGGAAACGGGGACATTGGCTTACGTGGGCACACATCCCCCTACGTGGGCACATCCCCCTTACGTGAGCACACACCCCCTTACACGGGCACACCCCCATTCAGGTGCACACCCAGACACACGTCCACAAACAGGAGAGACACTCGCGGAGACAGAGAAGAGACCACTTTTGTGGAGTTTGCCCAGAATTTTGCAATCAGAAAATTGAAGAAGAGACTGTTCTAATTCCAGCCTCCGTGTGAGCTTTGTCGTGCATTGCCTGGTGACGGGCTGGGACCGTGGCGCGCATCAGTGAGTCCAATGTTTAGAGCTTCCAAAGATCCTAATGTGGCCCTGGGGATGGAATGGGGGAGCGGCCATGAGCTGGAACCCGGCCTGGCAGGGGGACTGAGAGGACCTGGGTCAGCTGGTGGACAGACAGGGCCGGGGCCAATGGCAGGCTGTTGCTGGGGAAACACGGCTCCACGCCATCACCAGGACGGGGAGGCGCACGGCCACCTGCCTGCCCTCTGCCTATTCTCAGTCTCCCCAGGACCAAGCCCCATCTCTTTCTCTCTGTGTGTCCTTCATGAATAGGAGCCACTCCACGGACCTGTGACATGAGACGGCACTGGCCAAAGGAGGACGTGGGTCTGCGATGGGGACAGGACTGAGCCAGGAAGGCGAACACAGCAGATTTTTATGACCGCGCCCCTCCGGGGTGAACTCAGCATCACCCCATCCTAGGTGGGTGGCCAGTTCTGTCCAGCATTTCCCAGGACCTTTGCCAGGGGCCCAGTGCCAGGCGACCCTGGGCGAGATTGGGAGCAGCCCATTGGCCACGAGCTGCCCATCTGATCTGCCCTGCCCGGCCGGCCGACCCCACCGAGCTTTGGCAGCTGCATTTCCCCAGCTGACTCATGGCCCGTGCTCTCGGGCCAAGCTTGCAACATCTTTCCACAATAAAACCTCGATGGAGGTTAATTGCCTGCATAGCTCTGCAATTGAACAGGCCCATAAAATCTTTATTAGGTGCCAGCGCAGGGGCTGAGCCGGTGGCCAGTTGCTTGGCTTTGGTGCCAGCTCACAGCTGGGCGGGGGTCCTCAGGAGGGGCACCTAGCGGAGGGTTTTGGGTGGAGCATTCCATGCACCTTTTGGGAGCTGTTCCAAAGGGTTTACAGCAGACTCCGCCCATCAGTCGGGGACCTTGCTGGTGGTTCTGGAGGCTGCTAGACTTCCTGTTTCCACCATTAATATTCAGAGCCTCGCTGCCTGACCACAGTGTTTCAGAGAGCTTGTCAAACACCTGCTGTGTCCCTGCGTCTCAGGCTGAGCGCTGCTGACCACGGCATCACAACAGCCTTGACCTTCCGTGGCTTAGACAGCACAGGTCGACTCCTCCCTGGGTTCTGGATCCTTGTGCCAGGACGGCAGGAGCCTGTCTCTGCTCCATACAGTCCCCAGGGATCCATCCAGGCTGAAGGAGACTTGGGGATGTGTCACCTCTGAGGTCCCTGTGGGAGGGGAAGACAGGCAGGACCATGCTTCAACCTGAAAGTGACACATGCCATTATGTCTCTTAATTTGTTGGTCAAAACTAGTCGCATGGTTTCAGGGGAGGCTGAGAGTTGCAGGGACCCTGGGGGTGTGTTTGGTGAGTCCTGACTTCTCTGGGCCCCAGCTGTCCCTGCTTTGTGTGTTCTGAGAGGTGGCAGCAGGTGGTCAGGGTGGGTACCCTGTTCTTTGGTACGGTGCTGGGGTGTGTGTCCACTGGTGGCCTGCAGGGTCAGCCACCTTTTGGAAGGGAATGATGGGTGTTAATACAAGAGCAGACCTTGGGGCATCTGCTCCCTGGGGAGTCACTTCCCTCAAGCTGACTCCACCAGACCCGTCCTCCCTGAGAGAATAGTAGCTGCTCTGTGCTGTCCCCAGGTGGGACGTCAGACTCACTTGGGAAACTCTGCTGTCTGTGGCACCTGAGCCTGGAGACTGGTGGGGGCTGCATGGTGCAGACCAGGGAGGAGCTGTCCATGAATCTGAGGAGCCAGCTCTGCAAGATTTCTAGGGAGTGACAGCGCAGCCTGTCCCTGTCCTTGTCCCTGCAAACCATGAGGGGAAGACTTTTTTCTTTTTTTGGTTCTGATTGAACCTGGGGGCATTTTACCACTGTGCCACACCCCCAGCCCTCTTCACCTTTTATTTAGACACAGGGTCTCACTAAACTGATTAGGATGTTGCTCAGTGGCGGAGGCTGGCCTTGAACTTGGGATCCTCCTGTCTCAGCCTCATGGGTGGCTGGGATCACAGGCTGCTTTACAAAGCACTTTTGAGGATGTTGATTGGCTTTGCCCAGGTGCCTGCTGTTTTCCGGGGCCTCAGTTGCTCTCGGAGGCAATACCTAAATCCTGGTTATCATCACTAGGGCAATCGTGTGGCCCACATTTCACAGACGAGACAGGGTGAAGTGGGAAGCCGCAATCCGTGATACCAGTGACCTCACTGGGTCTTTTGTCTCCCAACTCTGTGTCCAGGAGACTCTCCATCATGGCCACCTCTGATCTGGTTCCCCCTTCTAAGGGTAACACCCCCCCTTTCCTGGGTGAGGGCCTTGCCCCCTGCTCCCCTGATTCGCATTCCCCTCCAGCTCATCTTGGTCCGATGGGGTGAGTTAATGAGGAGGGAGGGGACACTCAGGGTCTCTTCTCACATACCACAGCTGGAATGTCCTATGGGCCCCCTTCTACTTCATCAAAACAAATTGAAGTGTAGAAATCATCTAATTCAGACATTGCTCAGCAGAGGACCTGGTATGAGGACAGAAGTCGTAACTGGAGACAGGGCCGACTCAGACATTTATTGTGACAGGCTTTGAACAGAGAGTGACAAAGTCCTTGGTAATAAAACAAAAAAATCAGACGATACATCTTGTGCTAAAAATGCCCGTTGACTACAGTGAGAACCAACCCAAGAGCCGGATTCTGCTGGGAAGGAGGTTTTGTGCAGAGCACACTGTGGGGGGTTTGTTCATATTGTTCAAGTTGGAGCCAGGAGGTTCCTCGGTGCCCAGGTCCTCGTGTGGTGAATGAACGGCAGCCTGGCTCGATTCGCAGACTGACTGGGAGCCTCGGGCTTGGAACAAGTGCCAGTCATCTAGTTCAAATACAGCGAGACACTGGGCTGCCACCAATTAAGCTGTTCTCTGTCCGTGAATGTTGTCTGATCATCGGGCAGCCCTGGAATTCTCTGAGTCTGTTCTGGTTCCAAGGTCTGCCTGGTTCTAGAATCATGAATGAGAGCATTTAAGGTCTTCATACAAAATTGGTTGCGATTTTTGTCTTTTGATACATTAAGTTCTAGAACAGGTGAAGCCATTCTCTAGTGGTAGGGACCAGATCTGTGGAGGCTTCTGGGGGAGAGGTTATAGGCAACATTCAGGGCCCTTGGAATGTTCTGGATCTTGGTAGAGAGGCAGACCACGTGGGGATTTGCTGGTCAAAATGGATTAGATCATCTGAGTAAGACCTCTGCGTTTGGCTGTAAGAAAATTATCTCTGAAAAATAGAAGTCAGCCTACTGATAGAACATTCTGGAAGATGGAAGGTAGTGAGGTAACTCAAGAGTTGCTATTCTAACTTGTGCAAAGCGCTGTTAGGTTTTCATCACTGTGACAAAATGCCTGATAAAAACAACTTAAAGGAGAAAAGGTCTATTTTGGCTCAGGGTTTCAGAGCTTCCGTCCAGGGGTGGCTGGCTTCACCGTTTCTGGGCTGAGTTGAGGCAGAGCATCATGGCGGCAGGGCGTGGCCAAGGAAAGCTGTTCAGCCCATGGCAGCAGACAGTGATAGGAAGGGACTGGGGACAAGATATACCCTCTGGGGCAGCCCCTAGTGACCTGCTTCCCCCATCAGATTTTGGATCCATTGGTGGGTAGATCCGCTGAGGAGGATGGAGCCCTCAGGAGCCAGTCACTCCCCAGCCTCACCTCGGCACACTGCTGCCCTGGGGTCCAAGCCTTCAGCACCGAGCCTCTGGGGACATTCCAGGTCCAAACCTTGAGAGACGTGTGGAGGCTGCAAGCCCTACAGGAAGTGACGAGGAAGGGCAGCAGCTGGGGGCGGGGATTGCCAGGTTTTAAAGACTGAGCAAGTCTGAGGTGTGTGTCAAGAAGACGCATCAAAAGGCAGTCAGAAGGCGGCAGAGGCTCTCTCTGGGCCTTCTGCCTTGATGCTCTGCCTCACCAGAGCTGTGGGGCTGGCCAGTCACGGGCTGGAACCTCTGTAATCGTGAACCAAAATAGAGCTTTCCTCCCTAAAAAGAAGATAGACATGGCAAGAGTAGAGGATGAGTTTCCAGCCAAACAAGGGACCAGGTCTCTGAGTAACCCTACAAGGAAGACCCCCATAACCCTACAAGGAAGACTCCCCATAGCCCCGCCTTAAGCCCTCCTTTCCCTCCTAGTCCTTGTCTACCCTAAGACTAACCCTGACCATGACCTTGAACCTCACCCAGGTCCTAACCTTAAGTTAGCGCTCACCTCACTCCAGCCCTACTCCTCCCCTCACCCCAAACCCAATTCCAACCCTAAAAACAACCCCAACTCTAACCCTGAATTCACCACCTAGCCTAACCCTGGCCCTGAAGATAATGTCAAGTTCCCAGTGAAGCTGACCCTAAACCGCCCTATTTTATTCTGCTGCCCCAGGCCCAGTGAGACCAGAGGGGTTGGAAACCATGGGATGGGTGGGGGGCAAAATCTCAGCATCAGCTACAGAGGAGAGTTGGGCGTCAATCACTGCCTTCCACAAGAAAGCCGACGTGCTGACCCAGAGTCTAAATGCAATCCAAATGCGATAAGAGAAGGTGCTCAGCCTTGTTACCAGTGACACTTTGGAAATGGAGGCCAGGGTCACAAACGTCAGGGCTGTGGGGACATTCCTCAAAGATTCTCATTTGACAGAAGGGAGACAGAGAACCCGTTATGGATATGAGGTGCCCCACGGAAGCTCATCTGTGAGACATGCAGACATCTTCAGAGGTGAAATGACTGGGTTAGGAGAGGCTTAACCTAACTGGTGGATTAATCCACTCCTATGGATTATCTGGGAGGTAACTGTAGGCAGGGGGGTTGTGGCCGGAGGAGGAGGGTTTGTGGGATGTGCCTTTGGGGTGTACATTTTGTCGCTGGTGAGCAGAGCTCTCTGCTTCCTGATGGCCCTGTCCTGAGCTGCTTTCCTTCTCCATGCCCTTCTGCCATGATGCTCTGCCTCACCTCGGGCCTGGACCTGTGGAGTTGGGCAACCACAGGCTGAACCGATGGAACCATGAGCTCAACAAACCTTTCCTGCTCTAATTGTTCTTGTGAGGTCTTTTGGTCACAGCAACGTAAGAGCTGGCAGTGCCAGAGAGGGGTAGTGAGGTGCCTGAGGTCTGGGGAGGGGGCCACAGTCCCATCTGTGTTCTCCCAGCAACACCAGCTCTGGCCTTGGTCAGTGGCACAGCAGGACCTGTGTCAGTGAGCAGTTAAGATCTTCAGACCAAATGGGCTAAGAATTTGTTTTGGAATACTATTAAGTTCTAGGAAGGGTAAAACCAATCTCTAGTGACAGCGATCAGACTGTGGGGGCTGCAGGGATAATAGTTATAGATCTCGTTTGGGGTGAGAGAGGGCTTTTTGGGTCCTGGTGGAGATGAAGATGACACTGGATTTGTTGGAGGGTTTGTGTGAGGCTCTGAGATGTGCATCCTG